CGATGACAAGCCCTAGTTACTAATGAATAGATTGTTCAAAGATTTTGGACAACAAGAGTGATATATTTAGCAAGTGGAATACATGTTGATGAGATAGGTACATACTTGTTGATAGCATGAGAAACTTGGAGTGGATCATGTGGAAAAAAAATTAACAAAAGATTTAATTTCCATATATTTTTGGACAGAAGGCAACCAATATATAAACATGTATGCTTATGAAAATTATTATCACAACACATATACATATGCAGACAACATGAGGATGACTAAAATCTGCAATCCTAACTATCGTTGTTCTCACATTAAGTCATTTACCAATAATTTCAACAAGCTCACTACCAAAATAAAACTCTTTTTAATTAAAGCAAAAAAGGCATAAAGTTTGAATCAAGGAAAACAACAATATATATGGCCATTATTTTGTTAGAAATTTCAGTATGAGAGACTACTTTATTTTCTTATCTTGACTTAGATGTGGTATTGTAAAATTAAAACATAAGTATAACATATAACATAAAGAAATTGTGCTTGCTAAAATTTCCAAACCACAACCATCCATATACAATCCACGAGCCATACCACAAGAATCTAAATCTTTATAGAAACATAGGGCTAATAATATAGAGAAGCGCTCATCCTTACTCACGTCTAGTCATTTTCTCATCTTTCACAACTAAAGTCATCAACTCTAAACATGAAAGTCATCAACTCATTGTAATATTTGAGCTAAACAAACAATGATGCTACATGAAACTTCATGTATTGTCACAACCAAACTCATGAAAGAGTGTATGCATGAAGTTCCAGTGGCTTAGGGCATTTACAGGTGGGTGGCGGTGGTGGAGGACTGCCCAGTGGGGGCGGTGGTGGAGGGAGGCGGCCATGGCTCAATCCCAGCAGTGGCTGCGGGTGACCGCCCTCCCGGTGGCGGCGGGTGTGGGGACCGCCAGTGGCGGCGGTGGTGGAGGGAGGCAGGCGGCGGCGGTGGGGCGCCCGGCGATAGCGAGGCGGCTGGCGGCAGCGTGGAGGGAGGCCGGCACGACGGTGGGAGGCGCAGCGATGGCGAGGCGCCGGCGACGGCGTGAAGCCTTGTGTGGAGGCCTTGAGCGCAAGTGGCGAGAGGGCAGCGAGGCGCCCAGCCGTGAGGGACAGCAGCGGTGCAGCGGGATCTTGTGGCGTGTCTGCGGTGTGTGTGTACGTGCCACGATTTGAGGGAGAAAGCAGCTAAGTGTTGAATGCTTACATTTCACCGAGTGCCTAGATGTACGTCACTCGGTAAACTCAAGCACCGCAACCCAATGACATGTGGGCACTGGTACATGTTTGCAGTGCCCGGATCTCGGCACTTTCGATGTAAGCAAGCACCGCAGCCCAATGACATGTGGGCACTGGTACATGTTTACCGAGTACCCCAGATCTGACGGCACTTTCGTAAGCAAGCACCTGCAACCCAATGACATATGGGGCTGGTACATGTTTTCGAAAGTGCCTAGATCTACTGGCACTTTCGGTAAAGCAGAGCATGGTGACCCTTTGTGGCGACAGGTGGGCCGTGGCTAACCTTTATCGAGTGTTTGAGGTCACACTCGGTAAAAGTATCCATTATTTCATGCAAAACAAAAAAAAAAAAAATGCCAATTTAATCCTAAAATTCACCAAACTTTCACATGAACTATTTCATGTCATCTATTTACTATCTAAAAATTTCAAGTTAAAATCATAATGTTGAATTTCACTCTTAATAGAAATCCTACTCGTCATTGTGAATGTTTAGCGTCTCTTTGGGAGATGTCTGCGGTTGACTGACGAATGTAAAAATACTTCCGAAGCGTTATGAAAATTTTTCTATAACATAGATGTATGCTTCAATGTTAATTCTTCCAATCTCGTGATTTATCGAGTTCGATTTTAATTATTACAATTAAATTTACGATATGTACCTAATTTTCATAAAGAATGAAAATTTTGTGAAATATAGTAAATAAATCGAAATAAACACCATATTTTGGAATGGAGTACTAAATATCATATGTGGATAGAGGAAAAGAATGAAGGAAAAACAAGAAATTTGGTTGAATTTTACCGGTGTTGCGTAATACACTCTGTAAAGATAGTGTTTACCGAGTGTAGTGCACTTACACTCGGTAAAATTTTATTATTACCGAGTGCAAATACTTCTACCGAGTGTGACACTCGGTAAACATTCGGTCTTTTTATTTATATGGCGCTTGATGGGCGGAGCTGTTGTTACCGTGATGTTTGCAGTGTATGCTCATAACACTCGGTAAAATATATTAGGCTATGCAGTTGCTATCCTAGGTGACGTGGCACCTCAATACCAGTGGCTGTTTTTTCTTGAGTGCGCCCCTTGAGTAAACTTGTAGTTTTACCGAGTGTCTGAAGTTGCGAGTGTGCTGACTCGGTAAAGCGGTCAACTACCGGGTGTTTATGTTTTTCAGTGTTGGCACTCGGTAAGTACCTATTTTCGAGGGCCCGACTTTTGACACTTTCGGTAATTGTCGGGCACTCGGTAACTACTGATCTCGGTAGTGAGTAACGTTTGGTAGAATAGAAAAGGAAATGACTCTTGTTATCTTCCAGCAGTTCAGTGGCAAGAGAGTTGCTATTCTGGGGCTGGGCAGGATAAGCAGCGATAGCGAAAAGAGCCGAGGCATTCAGGTTGTTCCATAAGCTATACCTCAAGATCAGAGAAGCCTTTCCCAAACTACAAGTTCTACGCGAACGTTGTCGATCTGGCAGCCAACTGCGACATGCTTATCGTGCGCGTGCTCGCTTAACGCCGAGACCCACCACATTGTGAACCGTGAGGTCATTGATGCGTTGGGTCAGAGGGCGTGCTCGTAAACGTTGGCCGCGGAGCACACGTGGACGAGCCCAAGCTCGTGTCCGCGCTCGTCGAGACGCCTGGGAGGAGCAGGCCTCGACGTGTACGAGCACGAGCCCGTGGTTCCGGGCGGCTTTTCGGTTTGGATAATGTCGTCGTGGTGCCTCATGTGGGCAGCGACACTGAAGAAACGTGCAGGGCGATGGCTGACCTAGTGCTAGGAAATCTAGAGGCGCACACGACGAATAAGCCTCTGCTCGCTCCGGTGATCTGATTGTTGCTGGTAGGCACTTGGTCAGATATTAGTAGTAGAAGAACATGACGCTGTGGTTGTAATCCCAACTCTGCACTCTGCTATTTTTTTTTTTGGTTTGCCAGTCAGTAGGCTGTTACTCAGATCAGCCATGATTAATAAGAGTACCTATCTATGGAGATACTCTCACATTGACATATGATTGTCGCTAGCACTTGGTTGATCGGAGATTAGTTGAAGGTCATGACACTATGATTTGTAATCCCAACTCTGCACTCTGCTATTTTTAGTTTGCTACTAGTCAGCCTGCCATCTCCAGGGGCATGCTGTTCTCCTTTACAAGTCAGGTTGTTACTCGATCAGACATGATTAATAAGAGCATCTATCATCTATGGAGATACTCACATTGGCGTATGATTTGGAGTTTCATCATTTCTTCTTATCTTTTGCTGTGTGGTGTGGCCAGAGCAATGAGCATGATGCATTCTTCACTTTGCTGTCATGAATGGATGTGTTCCCTTTTTTTTGTCAACCTTGCTGACTTAGTAATGCGCATCATTGACATATTCAGCTCTGATTTCCTGACGCAAAGAATTCTTCGTGTCGTCATTAACTACGAGGAAACAGTGACAATGCCGAGTGCTTTAGATGCACACCTTCGATACTGAAATTCACTTTGCAATATGAAGTCTAACACTGTTAAAAGGAAGCTAACACTGTTTGAATACTTCTCTTTTGTGCAGAATCAATGGTGGCATCAAATAATCAGTTTTAAGACCCGGATTTGTCATGAGAGGTTCCAAGGGCCCTACGCGTGTGATTGCATTGCATTGTGTCTTTTTGTGATTTAGTTGTGACTTGTGATGATGGTTTATTGTAAATTGAGATGATGGTTTATTGTGACATGTGATGATGGTTTATTGTGAATTATGATGATGGTTTATTATACTGTGACAAATAATTATGCCTGTGATGATGTTTTATTGTGAATTGTCATGGTTTTTTGTGAATCGAGAGATATATGATTATTAAAAAGGAGGGCCTTGAGTCGCTTTGTGAGTGTAACACTCGGCAAAGATAAGAGATACCAGTGTCAAGGTAAAAACACTCGGCGAAGAGACCATTTTCGCCATTACGGTAACCTTCTTTGCGAGTGTATTCGGTGGACACTCGGCAAAGTGACTCATAAAATCGACCGTTGCAAGCTTGTTTGCCGAGTGTTTTAGTTCGACACTTTCAGCAAACTTGGGAAACTTTGTCAGTGTTTTATTTACGACACTCGGCAACCTTGGGAACTTTGCCGAGTGTTTTAGTTCGACACTCGGCAAACTTGGGAGAAACTTTGCCGAGTGTTTTATTTACGACACTCGGCAACCTTGGGAAACTTTGCCGAGTGCTTTAGTTCGACACTTCGGCAACCTTGAGAATATTTGCCGAGTGTTTTATTTCGACGCTCGGCAAAGTTGAAAACTTTGCCGAGTGTTTTCGTCGATGCACTCGGCAAAATCGGCGTCGCCCGTTCCATCCCGTCAAATTTTTTTTGCGAGAGTTTATTTTTTGCAGTGTTTCTTGATAGTCGACGGCAAACTATTTGCCGAGTGCCCGATGAAAAACACTTTCGGCAAACTACTGTTTTGCCGACAAATCAATGCCGTGTCTGTATGCGAGTGTAACATTCGGCAAAGTATTTGCCAGTGTTTTGGGCGTTTGCGAGTGCCCTTGACTTTCGGCAAATCTATTGTATCCCGTAGTGTATCGTAGATGCTCTAGGTTCCCGATCGCCAAGGCACCTTTGTAATGTTTGTGCCCCTCAAGCTTAGGAACGGAGTAGGTACAGATTGCAGGCGTACCTCACGTGCTTGTTTGTTACTCCCTCGCAATCTTCTAGGTCAAGCACCCTCAAGAGGCGAAGCTACCAAGATTTTTCAGGAGCTTGTACTGCCCACGGAGGTGGAACATGCTCAGTGAACGAACATGCTGCATATCAAATAATCATTCTCGCCTCCATAGTCCACATCATTTCTCTTTGCACCGCTCTCGTCAGCATGGATGGAGAGGCGACGGATCTTGCCACATGACATCCCCTTGTGCTGCCCTCCGTGCAGGCTGAAGAAAGTTAGCCTCCAGGGACTTGGACACCATGACCTCAAATGGCCTGCCTCTTCAATCATGTTCTTGCTCAAGAGTTTATCTAGGTAGGATTCTGCAACCTCCCACAGGGTCAGTCCCGCTTCTCATGAACTAATCCTTCTGCCATCCATCTGTTCAGTAGCGGTCCTTTCTAATTCGTAGTCCTCTGGAAAAATGCTAAAGTACATCATGCAACCCCTTGAGCTCATGCGGGGAGGTGATTGTAGCTAACCGTGACTATATGCTTCATCCCCTCAAGGGTAGGGTGGCTCTCCATCTGTGAACCAAGTGATTTGCAAACTCTATCCCACTTGTCTTTGCTTCCAGGTGATTTGTACCCAACCAAAACACTAAGCGATGCTGACAATGGCCAATGGCAGCCCACCACATTTTTCAAGATGTCGCCCATTACATCTTCAAATTCTTTGGGGTAAGAGGCATCCATGGATCCAAACACTCTGCTAACAAACAACTTCTTCAAATCTTCAAGCTTGAGGGGTTCCATCTTGTGAATGTACTTGCAGTGGCTATTAATACTATCAGGGCTGCATGCATTGGCCACTGTATCTATCCGAGTGGTCACGATGATTCTACCGCCCTTGTTCTCTAGGAACTTGGATTGGATTACTTCCCACGCTCGTACAGTCCAAACATCATCAATCACTATAAGGTACCTGGTTTAGGCATGCATAGTATATAGTTAGTTAAGTCATATATCCAAAACGTAATTAATTATCTCGCATGTGCAAAATGTATGAAAATGCTACTACTATTACTCAATATGCATGCATTATCATTGTTTGATATACCAATCTATCAAGTCATGCTCCTACACATATTACAAGAGTGATAAGTGTTAGAAATTCATTGATAAATTTAGGCCCCCATCTATTCAAACTGCTCACCTTTGCCCTCTCTGATTGTTCATGTTCTAACATGGTACTCATACAAATATTTTCTTATCTTTTCCTAGTTAAGATAGCTTTTAGCTACCAATTACTCTATACTTTTTAATACCCATTCATTCTTTTCCACATTGCCAGGCACTTCTATGTGTATTGTGTACTTGACGTATGCTTGTCTTAATCCTTATTTTGAACTACACTCGTGACCTACAAATTGATATGTGACCATTGTTTCCTATACAAATATATATAAGGCCATGTTTTGGCATAGCTCAAAACAGCTTTGGCTCATTGCTACAGTGTGTGGAGGAGCCGAAGCTGGTGAACCAACTCCTTACCACGGTGCAAGTCGGACCCGAGGCAGCCAGAGCTCCACCAAGCGGTATGGTGCGTTGGGTTGAAATTTGTAACACCCTAAAATTTGCATATTTTTGAAATAGGAGAAAATGATTAATTATGCATTTTGTGGGAATTTGAGTTTAGGAAAAATAATAAATTTTATTAAATTAAAAATCAAATGTAGATTCACAATCATGTGTGTGCATCCATGCTGCTGCATATCTTTTTGTATTGCTTGATTTGAAATCAGATTCCAAGTTGAATTGAATTTGCATTCAAAATTGATTTTGAAATTGTTTTGGAAAAATTGGAAAAAGGAAAACGAATATCCCTTTCTCCCTTTCCTTCCGGCCTGGTTGGCCTGCTTCTGCCGTGGCCCATTTTCTCCCACCGGCCCACTCGCGACCTGTTTTTTTTTTCGCGCTGGCCAGTTTGGCCTACCTTCCCCGATGGGCCGTCCCTCTCCATCGGCTTGGGCCTATGCCCCGCGCCTCCATTCCCGCCGCGGCCAAGCTGAGCGCCCAGCCTAGCCAGACGCCCGTGCCACGTCGCGCCGCGCCTCCTACCCGCTGGCGTCTCTGTCTTCTTCCTTGCGTCGTGTCCAAGCCGGACACATCCGTCGTCGCCGTCCGATTCCGCGGCGGCTACAAAACTTCATTGCCATGCCGCCCAAGCCGCGCCCTTAAATAGCATCCCGAGCCACGCCGCCTCTCTATCTCATCTTGGAGCAAGTTTTCGCCCTCGCGAATCGTTGCACCATTGCATAGCCCTAACCGCCGGCCGGCCCGTCAGCCAATCATGCGGAAAAGTCGTCATCCTCGCCTGTTCGCCTCCGTTTGTGGCCTTGGTAAGTTCGCCCTCTCCTTCTCTCTCTTGATGTCTTGCCTGTCTTTGTTGTGGACTATAGAGCCAAGAACCGTGAGCGCCGCCGCTCTGGCAATGGCGCCGCCACCGTAGGTTCGCCGTCAGCCCTGTTCTGGCTGGCCGCTGTTGTCTTCCCCGTCTGGAACAAATCTCAGCCATCCAAGTCTAATCCGGCGGCCCAGGATGAAAGATACCCCTTCGTTTTGGAATTTTGCAAAGAGCCCTTATAAATACTTGAGTCTTAACCCGTAGTCCAAAAGCGTTTTTCACGGTCCCATTTTCTTCTTCCGTAAAAGCGTACTTTGGTTCGGTCGGATTGAAAATACATTTTCAGATATTTACAGTTTTGCCACTCAACTTGTTTTAGCCATAAAATCTCCATTTTAACTCCGATTTGATCCGTTCAAGTTGCGTTAGGTTTTCGTAATTTCATAATCTACATATTCATACTCTTGTTAAGTAGGTTTTCAACTTTTAAAATTTGAGGTTAGATTTAATCTATTATTTTACTATAGGAAATCTTTTTAATTCATAACTTCTTCGTTTTAGCTCTGATTTTTGTGATTTTCGGCGATACGTGTGATTCGTAGCAAGGCATAGATTCATTTTCCAAACATTTCATATTGATTTTATGCTGTTGGTATACTATTCTAATCTATAGCTTTTGTTCTTTGTGCATGATTGCTCGTAGATGCTTGTATGTTCTTTGTGATTACCGAGTATAGGCGGTGAGAGCAATTCGTGGGTGACCAAGAATACTACTTTGACCAGTAGGAACAACAGGAGTACTTTACTTAAGGCAAGTATAGGATGGGATCATCCTTGTTTCCTATTCACCTTAATTCATTAAATTCATGTTGCATGTGTCACCTTGATAGGGATTCCCTAGAATTGAACTTTTACCTTGTCACCCTCTGAGTTATGCATTGGGTAGCTTTGCTAGTGCTCAATTAAACCATGATCTTGTAACTTGACTAATTGCATATGCAATAAACATTAAAATATGACTTTTTAGCAACTTGGAAATAGAAGGGGCTGGAGTATTTAGCTACTTTCTAAATGCTTCAGATTCCTCTCCCTAAGGACTTATCTATAAGTAATCATCCGGGACTTACAGTACAGCTGTGAGGGCTACATGGCTCTGGCTTTAGCTCAGTATGATGACCTTTTCTAGCTTGTTAGTGGTTACCTTTATTGGCGTAAGAATGGCTTGACAAATCGGGTATAGGACAACCTCTACTCTTATATGTATAGCCGTGAGGGAATTGTGCTATTTTACAGGGGGTTCCTATATCTGTTTGCCGAGTGAATCTAATGGCCCTAACTTGTTAGACGAACCTTTAAAAGGCTTCATAGTGACCCCTGCCTGCTCACTTTGGAAGTGTTTTGGGAGTAATTAACTCGGGCATATGGGTATCACGACTCACAATGAAAGTGTACAACCTCTTCAGAGTAAAACTGGTATATCAGCCGTGCTCACGGTCACGAGCGGCCTTGGAACATTTACGGAATAAATGAACACTAAGTATTACATGTTTATGCTATTCATTATTCATGTTTACATCGATCATGTGTTTTGCATTGGGAATTGAAACAACTTGTTGCTACTCTTAGGCTAAAATTGTGACAACTAAAAGCTGAATGTTGTTAAACTGTGTCAAGCCTTTTGAGCCTCATGAACCCCATGTTACACTTGTTGAGTCACGACATGTACCTTACACTTGTTTATTTTCTTATTTGGATAAAAATCCCGGATGGGTAACAGATGGCTATGGGTATGATGATTTCCACGAGGACTTCTTGACTTGTGGTCAATGAGTCGGCGTCCTGTGAAATGGAGCTTCCACGATAGATCTTTTCGTTATACTTACGCTATATCTATGTGAAGACTTTGTCTTAATATTCATGATGTAATAAACACTTATGATGATACTATTCATAATTTAGTCGACTTATATGTGTGATTGATCTCTGGGCGCACATAAGATTTTGCATCCAATTTTATCCTTAAAATTGGGCGGTTTAGGAAAAGACTATGTGTGCTAGAGGATAAGGCTATATGAGGCAATTCTTCATGAGGCACATAGATGCGCTTACTCTATTCATCACAGGAGTACTAAGATGTATTTGGATCTGAAGGAAGTATTGGTGAGTACAGATTTGAAGAGAGATGTTCTTTGAATATGTTGCTTTATGTGATACATGTCGGAGAGTCAAAGTGAACTTCAAAAGACTGCGAGGATTGCTATAGCCAATGAAGATACCTAAGTGGAAGTGGGAAGAAGTTGGTATGGATTTTATTGTTTGCGTTACCACACGTACTCAAGAGGTTATGATTCAATTTGGGTAATAGTGGATCGGTTAACTAAAGTTGTTCATTTCTTCTTTGGTCAAGACTACCTATACTAGACCTCAATTGGCTGCATTATATATGGAGAGGATAGTGTGTCTACATGGAGTTCCCAAAAAAAAATTGTGTACGATCGAGGTACTCAATTTATATCTCATTTTTATAGCAAAGTACATAGTTCATTGGAAACAAAGTTGAATTTTAACACGACATATCATCCATAGAGAGATGGATAAACTGAAAGGATTAATCAAATTTAGGAGGTTATATTGAGAGCTTATGCATTGCGGTATGGTACAAGTTGGGACAAGAGTTTGCCTTATCGAGTTCTCATATAACAACAATTATCGAGAAGAGTCTCAATATGACACATTTCGAGGCTTTGTATGGATGAAAGTGTAGAACCCCGTTGTTTTTGGAATCAAGCGGGAGAAACTCAAGTGTTTAGACTAGATGTTTTGAGAGGCCTTGAGAAGAGCAAGTATGGATGATGGAGATAACTTGAGAGTGGCTCGATCTCGATAGAAGAGGTATCTTAAACACTAGGAGATGAGAATTAGTTTTTAGTAGGAGATTATGTTTACTTGAAGGTGTCACCTATGAGAAGTGTGAGAAGGTTTAACATGAAAGGAAAGTTAGCACCAAGGTATATTGGGCATTTCAAGATTTTAGAGGCGAGGGCGTGGTGAAGTAGCTTATCGGTTGGAATTGCACGAGAGTTTGTTAGGAGTACATGATGTGTTCCATGTGTCTCAGTTAAAAAGTGTTTGCAGATTGCCTGAGAGTAGATACCATTAGAGGAGCTTACTGAGTTAAGGGAAGATCTCACTTATGAGTAGTTTCGGTAAGGATTTTAGAGATGGCGAGAAAAGAGTTACAAGGAGCGAGTTATAAAGATGTGTAAGATTGTGGAATCGGTATCTGAAAGATGAGGCCACTTGGAAAAGAAGAGGATTTGAGGAAAACATACCCACAGTTATTTGAGTAAGCATCGTCCGAATCTAGAGGACGAGATTCATTTAAGGGGGGTAGAATTGTAACACCTAAAATTTGCATATTTTTGAAATAGGAAAATGATTAATTATGCATTTTGTGGGAATTTGAGTTTAGGAAAAAATAATAAATTTTATTAAATTAAAATCAAATGTAGGTTCACAATCATGTGTGTGCATCCATGCTGATGCATATCTTTTGTATTAGCTTGATTTGAAATCAGATTCCAAGTTAGAATTGAATTTGCATTCAAAATTGATTTTGAAATTATTTTGGAAAAATTGGAAAAAGGAAAAGCATATCCCTTTCTCCCTTTCCTTTCGGCCTGGTTGGCAGCCAGCTTCAGCCGTGGACCCGTTTTCTCCTTGCCCACTTCGCTCCTACATTTTTTTCCACTGGCAGCAGTTCGGCCTACCTTCCCCGATGGGCCATCCCTCTCCTTCCGCTTGGGCCTGGCGCCCAGCCCCTCCCTTCCTG